TTTCGAAAGTGGTGTCACTGAGTCTGCTGCGAGAATTTCTCAGAACGTGCTTAGCCACGCTGAATAAGCGCTCCACGGGAGCACTAGAAGGTACTGCAGTATTATATTTCACATATAATTTTTTTACGATTGGATATCGATTCAAAATTGATATGCTTTCCGTTTCGACATTTGAGCTCATGCATGCCATAAATTCTTCTGTCGCTGGTGATTGGTATGATGTTTTCAGCTTTAGAAAATTTAAAATCCCAGGGTTTTTTTCTGTTACGTTATTAGTTATAGCAGGGTGTTCAGCTTGGACAATTCTTTCCAATTCTTTTGTAGCCTCCTTCCTAGCTTTTTCTTCCAACCAATTAAATTTGATGCAAGGTACCAGACCAGCCAAAAACTTTTTTTAATTTAAATTTTTTTTTTTTTTTTTTTTTNTTTTTTTGTTTTTTAAGAAAACTTACCGAGTTTTAGAAAAAAGTAACGATTTCATTCGATATTTCCGTTTCAAATACTTGTACTTTTTCCCTAAAAAAGTAACGAAAGTACAAGTAAAAGTACTAAATTTAAAAAGTAACGAAGTACAAGTAAAAGTACGTACGTTTTACTTGTACCGGTGGTAAAAGTAACGAAAGTAAAAGTACTGCCATATATGCTAGTAGCCTAACTCTTCAAAGTTACTTGGTACAAGTTGCCGTTCTTATGATTCATTATATATTATATATTATATATATGATTACATATTATATAAATCTCCCTGCTTTTAATTATGAAAAAACAACAGAATGTGGAATCGAAAATTTTATTTGATATCTTATTAAATAATTTAAATCAAGTTTCAAGTATACTAGGGAAATTAATAGGCTAACTCTTCAAAGTTATGTGGTACAAGTTACAATTTTTATGATTCAGATTATATATTATATAAATTTCTCTTCTTTTAATTATAAAAAATTAACAGAATGTATAATAGCAATTTTTATTTGATATCTTATTAAATATTTCAAATCTTTTAATTATGAAAAATGAACAGAATGCATAATAGCAATTTTTATTTGATATATTATTAAATATTTCAAATCAAGTTTCAAGTATACTAGTTGAATTAATAGGCTAACTCTTCAAAGTTATGTGGTACAAGCTACCATTTTTATGATTCAGATTATATATTACATAAATTTCTCTATTTTTAATTATGAAAAATGAACAGAATGTATAATAGCAATTTTTATTTGATATCTTATTAAATATTTCAAGTTTCAAGTGTACTAGTTAAATTAATAGGCTAATCCCTAAGAGTTATATATGATCCATATCACAAAATATTTTATTATAACACCGTTCCGGACCACCTATGACAAAATTCTCAGGTACATGCTCACAGAGAAAAATATTCTGGTAAAATTACCATACTATATGGTTATAACATTTCCGCTAAAAATAAATGAGAACTAGTATTATTCTGGTTAATAAAACCAAAACATATCGTATTTAAACCATTCATTTGGTAGTTTTACCGTTTATATAGTAACTTTTACCGGAAATTCTGGTTTTTAAAATTATAGTACTTATCACAAACATTTGGGAAAAAATACAAAATTGAAAAATAAATTTAACCCAATAAATGGTTTTTGTGACGTGCTATAAGATATCTTTATAAAACTAATACATTTTATTACAAATTATAAAACTTTTTTTTATTGTTAATTTCAGCAAAATCATTACCGAAACGCTTCGGTAATAATTATCGAGATTTTTCGTGTTTCCATCGATCCAGAAACACGGTAACTTTTACCATAATCTGGTAATTAGTATTGTACCTTTTACTAAGTGTAGTATTCAACTTTTATTTTGTGGGATCTTTGCGTTGAATCTTGTTCTGATGAATCCTAAAACAATATTTATATTGCTAGAATGTCTGTTCATACAAGAAACAGTAGTCAACATTTTGTCTTTTTCCCAAGTTTTCGTTGTGAAGTAGTGAAATAGCGAATTGCTACAAATAGACGCGTTAAATGGATTTTTCTATGAAAAGATCGAGTCTTACAGGTGCTGAAAAACGTCTACTAAAACTGCTACAAATGAAAATCTCTGAAAAACAAGGAACAACAAAAATTATAAACTTCAGTCTTCTCTTTCCTCAAATACCTCATAACGTTGATATATTTATTTCTCTGGATACGTTTCCAAACAATCTTTGGCTTTGAAGCGAGAAGCTCAATTTGTTAGTTGTTTAAAAATTAGAGAGCAGTATCATTATATGTAATTTGTTTTATGCTCTTCTTTTGAGTTCAAGAGCTTTTTTCAATGTGTTTTGTATACGGAACTGGTTAAACGTATCTATTTTAGAAATAAACGTGTTTTTGATGAGTTAATACTTTCATCACGGATTCGCAAGTTGAAAAAATCAGATGTTCCAGATCTCGATGAAAGAAACTTTTAAGCACCAGAAAAAGTCCTTTGGAAAAGACTTTCTTAACCAGACTAGAATGGTTTTGTTCCGTGGCTTTAAGAGAAACCCAGATTTGGCATTGCTTTTAACTTCAGAACAGAACCGACGCGTGCCCAAGTTGTCAACTTTCATTTCCACCTAGCAGCTTTTTGGATGAGTTAGATGGTAAACAAAAATCAACCAGCAACTTCTTTTGGACGGGCATAGACCGTGAAGAGTACAAAAGAACAGACGATTTTGGAAGGAACACAAGAAAAAAAGCAAAATGGCTGAGGAAGTGTACAAGAAACAAGAGGTAGAGAGAAAAAAAAATGTCGCGGCAAAGGAGCAACTGGTGTCGGAATATTAGTTGTTGAACTGGAGGACTTCCAAAGGCAGTTAGAAACACAGTTAGAGAAAATCTAAAGACTAAAAATACAGTGGTGTGCGAGCACGTTCGGGAGATGACGATGCTCGTGAATCCGATGAGGACTTCCGAGGACAATTATTTATCGCCGTTCCAACACGAGGATGATCCCGAGAACGGTAAGTGAATTGTCTCTTACTGCCCAGCATATCGGCAGTCTTGTCCAGGTATGTTGGGTCAAGGCAATGGTCTGAAATAGGATAAAACTAATAAAATAAGAAAGAAAAAAAATTAAAAAATTTTTAAAAATTTTTTACAGTAAAAGTTGCAGTAATTATTTGTAAAAATTAGAACACTTTGAGAAGAAAATATTTTTTAGTATATTTTAATGATATTACTGCAAAATTGCTTGAATTATATGCAATAAAATAAAAATAATACGCTTTATATAATATAATTTGATTTCTATAACAAGCTTTTGATTATATTATCACTGTTACTTTATAAAATATTTCAATAACCCCTCGATTTTTTTGTACAAATTTAAATAAATTCAATATTACAAAGGTATTTTCATTGACATCTACCTTATTAGCATGATTTTTGCAACGATGGCATGGCTAAGCGTGCCATGAATGATATCGTTAGATGATGATATTATCGATCGTGTACATAGTGCACGTTATCGTTAGTGTCAATTTTGTATCTGCACTATATATAGAATATATTATACTATTTATAGTGTACCTACACTATATATAGTGTAGGTACAAAATTTATTTTACAATACTGGGATAAACCCCTCGTTAATAACATCCACCACAAAAATGCATTTAATAAAACTAAATGAATTTTTAAAAGAGATACAAATAAAAGTTAAAAAAAATAAATTTAAGAAAAATTACATTTAAATCTAAATTAACAGAATATTACATAATTAATTTCATAAATTTGACTGTTTTATCATAAATTTGATAAATTATCATAAATTATCATTTGTTTATTTAAAAAAAATAATAATCCCATTGAAACATAATAACAAGTATAATTCTTTTAAAGGAAACTTGGTTCTTATAAAAAAACATTAAATAAAAAATTTATGTTTTTAGTGAAATTTTCCGGTTTGAAATGATAGAAAGAAATTTCAGAACAAAATTTAATTAAAATAAGAAGTAAAATCAAAGAATGGGGCGATGCAAGTTTAAATTTTTATCCTTCCTAAATTGCATAGAAAAATTGCAATTTAAAAAAATACGTAAGCCATTAAAATCAAACGTGTATTTCTTCATTTAGGTTATTGAATTTAATATCTGGAAAAAGCTGATGAAATTAAGATCGAATCTGTTATTTATGTCAACTGAATTGAATTAGTTTAATAAAATGTTTTAAAGTGCCACTTCACTGATTTTTTATAATTCAGACTCGAAACTTGATTTTTTTCAAAGAAAAGAATTATTGAAGTGATTCGAACCATCTTTATGCTTTTTGTGAGAATTTAAAGTTAAGATCAAATTAATTCAATTTTATTTTGTGCAAAGTGATTTTCATGTGTATTTTAAACTGAATAATCACTTAAACTATTTGAAATTTTCATTTAAGGCAATTTTTGCTTCATCAAAAAAAAAAAAAATTATCCGAATCAATATTTTTCTTCATTGAAAAGAATTATTGAAGTGATTCGAATCAAATAAATAAGTTTTTTAGTAGGAATTTAAATTTATGATTAAATAAATTTATAATTTTTATTTTGCGCAAAGTGATTCGAATAGATTTCCTAAGCAAAGTGTTTTAAACTAAATAATCACATAAATGATTCGGAATTTTAATTTGAATCATACGTACTTAAGCACAATTTCTGTTTAATCAAAAAAAATATTGAAGTGATCTGAATCAAATGAATAAGTTCTCTTAATGGGATTTTAAATATATAATCAAATAAATTCCTGATTCTTTTTTTGAGCGAAGTGATTCGAATAATTTTTAAAACATGTTTTAAACTGATAAATCACTTCCGCGATTCGAAAATTTCATTTGGAGTACAGATATTAAACCTAATTTCTGTTCCGACGAAAAGATTTATTGAAAAAATCTGAATTATATGAATAAGTTATCAAAATTTAACTTGAGTTTACAATCAAATAAGTTTGTAATTTTATATTTATGCAATATTTTCTTTGTGATTCAAAAATATATTTTGAGGCGTAGATTTGTAGCGTAACTGCCATTACATTTATTAAATAGCAATTCACTAGTATGTAAGACGCGTTTTACTCGATTCTATCTGGAGGTACCTTTTGAAAGATGAAGGCTGACATTTGTAGATAACATTCTCTCCACATTGGTGACCCGGACATAATATGAACTCTCCTGCATCGAAAGCCCTTTACCCTGAGATTTAAATCCAAATTACAGTTTGGATTAATAGAGTTTTTGAGGTGATCCGAATTGAATGAATAAGCTCTCTTAGTGTTATGTGAATCTATTATCAAATAAATTCCCACCAGTCTGAGATTTAAAATATTAACTGAAATGTGATACACATGAAGATTCGATTTGGTGTGGAGGTGATTTTTTTTTAAAAAATGATCACATCATCAAATTATTCAATCAACATTCAATAATTTATTTGAGTCACTTTTCAGAATCAAAGTTCTGTCTAGAAATAACGAATTAGTGATTCAAATCAATTGAATAAGTTGATATATGCTCATTCAAGGATGAGAATAAGGCCATTCGAATCTAAGATTTCAATCATGAATTAAATCTGTTGTTTTTATGAATAGATTTGAAGCCCTTGTTTGAATCAGCCTTAAAATGGATATTCAAAACAATACATCACATTATTCATTTCAAAGTCTAATTTTCTATTTTTCTAATTTCTCTAATTTTTTTATGAAAATGTTCAGAAAAGTGTTCTGATATAATAACTTTTATGCAACAAGATTATAAAAAAGTGATTCTGAAGCAAAAAATGTGATAATTTAATTCGGAGAAAGAAACTCCAGTCTAAACAAATATCGTTGTTCAACATAATGTAGAAATGCAGACAGAATTGGAATTCACTGTTCAGAATTCATATGCATTCATATTTTAATACAGTACCTACCAAAGAAAAATCAATTTAAGAGGCAAGTGCGAGAATTGTCAATCGCAAATCAAGCTGAGATTTTTTATTCAATTAGTTAACTTGGTTTGAAAATGATAGGTATAACACTTTTTTGTCTATTTTGTTTTAGTTGCAGAGGTATGAATTATTGAAAATGAAAGTTTGGTTGAAAAAAATTTGTAAAGAGCATTATAAATTTCGACTAATGCACGAAATCGAATACAGTTGGAAGAATCATTTATAAGATACTTAAATGATAATAAATTGTAAACGATTTTTCGTTAGATTTCTAATTTCGCAAATAAATTCTTATTTAAAAAAATATGAAATGTAATATCGTTGTTGTAATGTTATGTAATAACTTTAGGATTTATGACTAAAAAATTGAATTTTTGTTTTTAATTATAACGTTTCTGTTTTTCTCTATTGCAATGCAATTATTTAAGTTTTGAATAAAATAAAAAAGACGTTTATAACCAACAGTTAATTTCATATGCGGGATGAAAAGAGCTTGGTAACGTATTAAAGATGAAAATTGTAGTTTTTAATAATAACTTGATATATAACTTGATTGAAAATAGACAAAATAAATTTTATGCATTACTTTTCAAATTAAAAAAACGATCTGCAAAAAACAAATTATCCCGATGGAAGAGGGTACATTGTAAAATAATTCCAGATCAAATTACAGTAAAAAAATACCGGCAATTTGAGAGCTGCTGCTTTTACCAGAACCTGTTACGGAACTAAAAACCTCTGATACACCGTAATATTTAGATCAATAAGTGTAGTAAAATCACTGAATCACTCTAATTAAATAATATTACTGTGAAATTTTCAGTATTAAATATTACGGTAAAATTGATTTTATACGGTGAAATGGGTTTTTCAGATGATGTAACCAAAGTGCCGGTACTTTATGCCATAATTTGATCCGGAATTTGTTACTGTGTACCGAACTTGTAAAGTACAGAAACAAGCAATGTTTTAACTAAAATAAGACGCATATAGTTAATTTTATTTATTAATTTTCGTAATTTAAATAAAAAAATGTAAAGGTTCTTAATTATTACCGTACAGTTTTTAGCTTAACTCCCATATTTTTAATTTATTAAATTTTGTACAACTGCGTATAATTATGCGCATTTTCAAACTATTATTACTTCTCACAATGTTTACTGTGTGTACTAAGTGTTTTAGTCACGAGACTAAAGTAAATATAATTTTTCTTCTATGAATGGTTTAAGTTTATATAACATTTTAAGTTCAGATTCTACATTTTAAGAAAAAAAAATATCTGCTGAATATCTTTTATTTACTTATACTCTTATGCAATTCAGAATACGTTATTTTACGCAAGAGATACTTACATATAAAGTAGTATTATTTCTCCATTAAATTTTTTTTAATCTAAGTTGAAAAATAAAAATACTTTTGTTTTCATTTTGAAAAGTTATGTTTTAAAAGCTGTATTCAACTTTTAGAGAAAATATTATTTTAAAAAATAAATAAAAATAAGGAGCACACAAATGGTAAATACTTAATTCTTTTTAATGAATCGCAAATTTTCATACCTTGTGTTTATGAAGTATTAAATAAATGTTTTGAGACACATATGAATGTATCGCTTAAAAAATAGAGATTTAAAAGGATTAATTTTCAGCTTGGAATAAATGTATAAACAATTTCGTTTTTATCTTGAAAATTTATGTTTTAAAAGGTATATTCAATTTTCAGAGAAAAATATTATTTTTAAAAATAAATAAGAATAATGAGCACACAAATGATAAATACTTATCTCTTTTTAATGAATCGCAAATTTCCATATATCGTGTTTATAAAGTATTATGTTAATGTTTCGAGACACATATTAATGCATCCTTTAAAAAATTGAAATTTAAAAGGACTAGTTTTCAAGTTAGAAGAAATGTATAAATAATTTCGTTTTTATTTTGAAAAGTTATGTCTTAAGAGCTATATTCAACTTTCAGCGAAAAAAAAAAATTTCAAAAATAAATATGAAAATAATGAGTACACAAATGGTGAATACTTATCTCTTTTTAATGAATCGTA